TTTTATTTGATGTGCCAAAGTGGAAACAAAACTACAGATGCAACAAGGTCGGAAAATTTAGTTGTTGAACCATAATTAAAGCTGGGCTCAACAAGGATTTGAACCCGGGACTTCTCGCACCCAAAGCAAGAATCATACCCCTAGACCAACGAGCCATGGAACATGGGTTTTCTTTTGGTGTGCAATGTGGAAACAAAACTACAGATGCAACAAGGTTGGAAAATTTAGTTGTTGAACCATAATGAAAGCTGGGCTCGTCCGGGATTTGAACCTGGGACCTCTCGCACCCAAAGCAAGAGTCATACCCCTAGACCAACGAGCCATGGAACATGGGTTTTCTTTTGGTGTGCAATGTGGAAACAAAACTACTGATGCAAAACAAATGGAAAATATAGGTGTTGAACCATATTTAAAGATGGGCTCACCCGGGATTTGAACCCAGGACTTGAACCCGGGACCTCTCGCACTCAAAGCGAGAATCATATCCCTAGACCAACGAGCCATGGTGTATGGTTTTTATTTGATGTGCCAAAGTGGAAACAAAACTACAGATGCAAAAAGAGTGGAAAATTTAGGTGTTAAACCATAGTTAAAGTTGGGTTCTTACAGGATTTGAACCTGGTTCTTCTCGCATTCAAAGCGAGAATCATACCCCTAGTCCAACAAGCCATGGAACATGGGTTTACTTTTTGTGTGCAATGTGGAAACAAAACTACAGATGCAACAAGGTTGGAAAATTTAGTTGTTGAACCATAATGAAAGCTGGGCTCGTCCAGGATATGAACCCGGAACCTCTTACACCCAAAGCAAGAATCATACCCCTAGACCAACGAGCCATGGTGTATGAGTTTTATTTGGTGTGCAAAGTGGAAAGAAATCTACAGCTGCAACAAAGAGTGGAAAACTGAGGTGTTGAACCATATTTAAGGATGGGCTCACCCGGGATTTGAGCTCGGGACTTGAACCCTGGACCTCTCGCACTCAAAGCGAGAATCATATCCCTAGACCAACGAGCCATGGTGTATGGGATTTATTTGATGTGCCAAAGTGGAAACAAAACTACAGATGCAACAAGGTTGGAAAATTTAGTTGTTGAACCATAATGAAAGCTGGGCTCGTCCGGGATTTGAACCCCGGACCTCTCGCACCCGAAGCAAGAGTCATACCCCTAGACCAACGAGCCATGGAACATGGGTTTTCTTTTGGTGTGTAATGTGGAAACAAAACTACTGATGCAAAACACATGGAAAACATAGGTGTTAAACCAAAATTAAAGCTGGGCTCGTCCAGGATTTGAACCCGGGACCTCTCGCACCCAAAGCAAAATTCATACCCCTAGACCAACGAGCCATGGAACCTGGGTTTTATTTGGTGTGCAAAGTGGAAACAAAACTACAGATACAACAAGGGTGGGAAATGTATTTGTTGAACCATGAGGAAAGCTGGGCTCATCCAGGATTTGAACCCGGGACCTCTCGCACCCTAAGCAAGAATCATACCCCTGGACCAACGAGCCTTGGAATCTTGGTTTTATTTGGTGTTCAAAGTGGAAACAAAACTACAGATGCAACAAGGTTGGAAAATTTAGTTGTTGAACCATAATGCAAGCTGGGCTCGTCCGGGAATTAAACCCGGGACCTCTCGCACCCTAAGCGAGAATCATACCCCTAGACCAACAAGCCATGGAACATAGGAATTCTTTTGGTGTGCAATGTGGAAACAAATCTACAGATGCAATAAGGGTGAAAAATTTAGGTGTTGAACCATAATTAAAGCTGGGCTCGTCCTAGATTTGAACCCGCGACCTCTCGAACCGTAAGCGAGAATCGTACCCCTAGACCAACGAGCCATGTTGTATTGGTTTTATTTGCTGTGCAAAGTGCAAAAAAAACTACAGATGAAACAAGGGTGGAAAATTTAGGTGTTGAACCATAATTAAAGCTGGGCTCGTCCAGGATTTGAACCCGGGACCTCTCGCTCCCAAAGCGAGAATCAAAAGCCTAGACCAACGAGCCTAGGCGTATGGGTTTTTATTTGTTGTGCAAAGTGGAAAGAAAACTACAAATGCAACAAGAGTGGAAAATTTAGTTGTTGAACCATAATGAAAGCTGGGCTCGTACGGGATTTGAACCCAGGACCTCTCGCACCTGAAGGAAGAATCATACTCCTAGACCAACGAGCCATTGAACATGGGTTTTCTTTTGGTGTGCAATGTGAAAACAAAACTATTGATGCAAAACACATCGAAAATATAGGTGTTGAACCAAAATTAAAGCTGGGCTCATCCAGGATTTGAACCCGGGACCTCTCGCACCCAAAGCGAGAATCATACCCTAGACCAACGAGCCATGGAACCTGGGTTTTATTTGGTGTGCAAAGTGGAAACAAAACTACAGATGCAACAAGGGTGGAAAATGTTTTTGTTGAACCATGAGGAAAGCTGGGCTCATCTGGGATTTGAACCTGGGACCTCTCGCACTCTAAGCAAGAATCATACCCCTAGACCAACGAGCCATGGAACCTGGGTTTTATTTGGTGTACAAAGTGGAAAGAAAACTACAGATGCAAAAAGAGTGGAAAATTTAGGTGTTAAACCATATTTAAAGATGGGCTCGCCTGGGATTTGAACCCAGGACTTGAACCCGGGACCTCTCGCACTCATAGCGAGAATCATATCCCCAGACCAACGAGCCATGGTGTATGGGTTTTATTTGATGTGCCAAAGTGGAAACAAAACTACAGATGCAACAAGAGGTGGAAAATGTATTTGTTGAACCATGAGGAAAGCTGGGCTCATCCAGGATTTGAACCCAGGACCTCTCGCACCCTAAGCAAGAATCATACACCTAGCCCAACGAGTCATGGTGTATGAGTTATAGTTGGTGTGCAAAGTGGAAAGAAAACATGGTGTATGGGTTTTATTTGATGTGCCAAAGTGGAAACAAAACTACAGATGCAACAAGGTTGGAAAATTTAGTTGTTGAACCATAATTTAAGCTGGGCTCAACAAGGATTTGAACCCGGGACTTCTCGCACCCAAAGCGAGAATCATACCCCTAGACCAACGAGCCATAGAACATGTGTTTTCTTTTGGTGTGCAATGTGGAAACAAAACTATAGATGCAACAAGGTTGGAAAATTTAGTTGTTGAACCATAATGAAAGTTAAGCTCGTCCAGGATTTGAACCTGGGACCTCTCGCACCCGAAGCAAGAGTCATACCCCTAGACCAACGAGCCATGGAACATGGGTTTTCTTTTGGTGTGTGATGTGGAAACAAAACTACTGATGCAAAACACATGGAAAATATAGGTGTTGAACCAAAATTAAAGCTGGGCTCGTCCGGGATTTGAACCCGGGACCTCTCGCACTCAAAGCGAGAATCATACCCCTAGACCAACGAGCCATGGAACCTGGGTTTTATTTGGTGTGCAAAGTGGAAACAAAACTACAGATGCAACAAGGGTGGAAAATGTTTTTGTTGAACCATGAGGAAAGCTGGGCTCATCCGAGATTTGAACTCGGGACCTCTCGCACCCTAAGCAAGAATCATACCCCTAGACCAACAAGCCATGGAACCTGGGTTTTATTTTGTGTGCAATGTGGAAAGAAAACTACAGATGCAAAAAGAGTGGAAAATTTAGGTGTTAAACCATATTTAAAGATGGGCTCGCCCGGGATTGGAACCCAGGACCTCTCGCTTTCAAAGCGAGAATCATATCCCTAGACCAACAAGCCATGGGATATTGGTTTACTTTTGATGTGCAATGTGGAAACAAAACTACAGATGCAACAAGGTTGGAAAATTTAGTTGTTGAACCATAATGAAAGCTGGGCTCTTCCGGGATTTGAACCCGGGACCTCTCGCACCCGAAGCAAGAATCATACCCCTAGACCAACGAGCCATGGAACATGGGTTTTTTTTGGTGTGCAATGTGGAAACAAAACTACAGATGCAACAATGGAAATTTAGTTGTTGAACCAAATGAAAGCTGGGCTCGTCCAGGATTTGAACCCGGGACCTCTCGCACCCGAAGCAAGAATCATACCCCTAGACCAACGAGCCATGGTACCTGGGTTTTATTTGGTTTGCAAAGTGGAAACAAAACTACAGATGCAACAAGGGTGGAAAATGTATTTGTTGAACCATGAGGAAAGCAGGGCTCATCCGGGATTTGAAATCAGGAACTCTTGCACCCTAAGCAAGAATCATACACCTAGACCAACGAGCCATGGTGTATGAGTTTTAGTTGGTGTGTAAAGTGGAAAGAAAACTACAGATGCAAAAAGAGTGGAAAATTGAGGTGTTAAACCACATTTAAAGATGGGATCGCCCGGGATTTTAGCCCGGGACTTGAACCCCGGACCTCTCGCACTCAAAGCGAGAATCATATCCCTAGACCAACAAACCATGGTGTATGGGTTTTATTTGATGTGCCAAAGTGGAAACAAAACTACAGATGCAACAAGATTGGTAAATTTAGTTGTTGAACCATAATTAAAGCTGGGCTCAACAAGGATTTGAACCCGAGACCTCTCGCACCCAAAGCGAGAATCATACCCCTAGTCCAACAAGCCATGGAACATGGGTTTTCTTTTGGTGTGCAATGTGGAAACAAAACTACAGATGCAACAAGGTTGGAAAATTTAGTTGTTGAACCATAGAGAAAGCTGGGCTCGACCGGGATTTGAACCCAGGACCTCTCGCACCCGAAGCAAGAATCATACCCCGAGACCAACGAGCCATGGAACATGGGTTTTCTTTTCGTGTGCAATGTGGAAACAAAACTACAGATGCAACAAGGTTGGAAAATTTAGTTGTTGAACCTTAATGAAAGCTGGGCTTGTCCAGGATTTGAACCCAGGACCTCTCACACCCAAAGCGAGAATCATACCCCTAGACCAACGAGCCATGGTGTATGAGTTTTATTTGGTGTGCAAAGTGAAAAGAAAACTACAGATGCAACAAGGTTGGAAAATTTAGTTGTTGAACCATAATGAAAGCTGGGCTCGTCCGGGAATTAAACCCGGGACCTCTCGCACCCTAAGCGAGAATCATACCCATAGACCAACAAGCCTTGGAATCTTGGTTTTATTTGGTGTTCAAAGTGGAAACAAAACTACAGATGCAACAAGGGTGGAAAATGTATTTGTTGAACCATGAGGAAAGCTGGGCTCATCCGGGATTTGAACCCGGGACCTCTCGCACACGAAGCAAGAATCATACCCCTAGACCAACGAGCCATGGAACATGCGTTCTCTTTTGGTGTGCAAAGTGGAAACAAAACTACAGATGCAACAAGGGTGAAAAATTTAGGTGTTGAACCATAATTAAACCCGGGACCTCTCGCACCCAAAGCGAGAATCATACCCCTAGACCAACGAGCCATGGAACATGGGTTTTCTTTTGGTGTGCAATGTGGAAACAAAACAACTGATGCAAAACACATGGAAAATATAGGTGTTGAACCAAAATTAAAGCTGGGCTCGTCCAAGATTTGAACCCGGGACTTCTCGCACCCAAAGCGAGAATCATACCCCTAGACCAACGAGCCATGGAACCTGGGTTTTATTGGGTGTGCAAAGTGGAAACAAAACTACAGATGCAACAAGGGTGGAAAATGTATTTGTTGAACCATGAGGAAAGATGGGCTCATCCGGGATTTGAACCCGGGACCTCTCGCACCCAAAGCGAGAATCATACCCCTAGACCAACGAGCCATGGAACCTGGGTTTTATTTGGTGTGCAAAGTGGAAACAAAACTACAGATGCAACAAGGTTGGAAATTTTAGTTGTTGAACCATGAGGAAAGCTGGGCTCGTCCGGGATTTAAACCCGGGACCTCTCGCACCCTAAGCAAGAATCATACCCCTAGACCAACGAGCCATGGAACCTGGGTTTTATTTGGTGTGCAAAGTGGAAAGAAAACTACAGATGCAAAAAGAGTGGAAAATTTAGGTGTTAAACCATATTTAAAGATGGGCTCGCCCGGGATTTGAACCCAGGACTTGAACCCGGGACCTCTCACACTCAAAGCGAGAATCATATCCCTAGACCAACGAGCCATGGTGTATGGGTTTTATTTGATGTGCCAAAGTGGAAACAAAACTACAGATGCAAAAAGAGTGGAAAATTTAGGTGTTAAACCATAGTTAAAGCTGGGTTCTTCCAGGATTTGAACCTGGGACCTCTCGCATTCAAAACGAGAATCATACCCCTAGTCCAACAAGACATGGAATGTTGGTTTCCTTTTGGTGTGCAATGTGGAAACAAAACTACAGATGCAACAAGGTTGGAAAATTTAGTTGTTGAACCATAGTGAAAGCTGGGCTCAACCGGGATTTGAACCCGGGACCTCTGGCAGCCAAAGCAAGAATCATACCCCGAGACCAACGAGCCATGGAACATGGATTTTCTTTTGGTGTGCAATGTGGAAACAAAACTACAGATGCAACAAGGTTGGAAAATTTAGTTGTTGAACCATAATGAAAGCTGGGCTCGTCCAGGATTTGAACCCAGGACCTCTCGCATCATAAGCGAAAATCATACCCCTAGACCAACGAGCCTTGGAAACTTGGTTTTATTTGGTGTTCAAAGTGGAAACAAAACTACAGATGCAACAATGGTGGAAAATGTATTTGTTGAACCATGAGGAAACCTGGGCTCATCCGGGATTTGAACCCGGGACCTCTCGCTCCCAAAGCGAGAATCATACCCCTAGACCAACGAGCCATGGAACCTGGGTTTTATTTGGTGTGCAAAGTGGAAACAAAACTACAGATGCAACAAGGGTGGAAAATGTATTTGTTGAACCATGAGGAAAGCTGGGCTCATCCGGGATTTGAACCCGGGACCTCTCGCACCCTAAGCAAGAATAATAACCCTAGAATAACGAGCCATGTTGTATTGGTTTTATTTGCTGTGCAAAGTGCAAAAAAACTACAGATGCAACAAGGGTGGAAAATTTAGGTGTTGAACCATAATTAAAGCTGGGCTCGTCCAGGATTTGAACCCGGGACCTCTCGCACCCAAAGCGAGAATCATACCCCTAGACCAACGAGACTAGGCATATGGGTTTTTATTTGTTGTGCAAAGTGGAAAGAAAACTACAAATGCAACAAGGGTGGAAAATTTAGTTGTTGAACCATAATGAAAGCTGGGCTCGTCCGGGATTTG